CCCCCCCCCCCCCCCCCCTCCCTCTCTCTCTCTCTCTCTCAGTTGTGCAAAAAAGGTTCAGCTTTACATTTTGTCTGAACACAGTTTTTAACTACCAATTAAATTTCTACCATTCACTGTGCTAAAAATATTTTTATTCCCTCAGATACAATAATATATAATATTAAATTTTTAGTATCCATAGAAATAGTTGTTGTTTAAAAAAGAAAATGAAAACTAAAATTCATTTTAATTTAAATAGTGATAATCATCGTATCATTAAAAAATAATCAAGTGTCACAAATTATACCATTTACAGATGTCCTTTTTTTTAAAGCTGGAAACAAAAAATGTATGGCCACAGGGGTAGAAAGCAAAGAATATGCATTTGAGGCAAGTAACAACAATACAATCATATGCAGTAAAATGATAAAATATAATTTAAACTTCATTGGTAGATAAAAATACTGGTAGATAAAATGATTGTAGTTATTTATTCTAATAGGCTAAGTTTTTTAATTAAATTTTGCAATAATTTATTCAAAGGCAAATAATGTTCAAAAGATTAACAGATTAGCATGCCTCCTGGTATTTGAGTAGAAAGAAGAAAAGCTGACACTTATTTTTATTTGGGGGAAAGTCTCCCTAATTATCCAATAAACATATTTCAGATGGCGTGTTCAAATATCCGCTATGGAGAGGGGGTCACACAGGAAGTGGGAATGGTGAGTTGAGGATCAAGTGTAGAAGTTTTTATTTCTGCAGGACTTTTGAAGCATATTAACCTTTCATTGTAAAAGTAATAAAACTTTAGATGGTCAATTTCGTGTTTTTATATCAAGTAAAAGGCGTTGTAAATATTGTACTTGTTACAAAATAAATAAATAAATAAATAAATAAATAAATACTTCCAGGACTTTGCCAACATGGGAGCTAAAAATGTCTGTGTGGTGACGGATCAGAATTTATCCAAACTTCCTGTGATGCAGACGGTAACTGACGCCCTCCACAAATCCAAGGTCAACTTCCAGGTGTTTGACAGGGTGCGTGTTGAACCCACAGATAGCAGGTAAGGCAGGTGTGACATGATTGTGATCAGCCCCTCATAACAGTCCCACAGTTTTTTTATGTCACAAGTCTTTTAATGCATTTCAATATAGATAAACTTTACTCACAATGTGAAAAGGGCCTAAGGCCTAAAAAGTAAATCATGTTTTTAAGACAAGAAAAAATAAGACAAGGAATTTTTTTTTTCTGTACGAGTTTTAATTTTGATATATGTATGTTGAAATAGTCTGGTCAGTTTGGTTATGTTGTCTTATCACAAAGTAATATTTTTATTATAATCAAAGATATGTTTCAATGTCAGTCTAACATCTACAGTTTGCAATAACATCACNAAGCTAGCTGCTTAGATGTCTGGCACAAATTCTTAACAGTATACTGCTCCTGGACATGTAACTGAGTTCTTTCCTTTCACAAGCTCACTTTCAACTCTTTGGATCCAACAAAATTGCTAATAATTTAGTCAATTGGCCGAGTTTAACACCAATTCAGCACCTTGTTATTTAGGTGATTCTCATTTTTGATCTCTCAAAGACTTTCGATACAGATTATCAGATAAGTTTAAAGCATGGTGTGATAAGAGGCTAAGAATGGATTTATTCTATTTAGATAACAATTAAAATCTCTGAGTTAAACAGAAACGTTTTAGGACACAGGATACTGACAGCATCCCGGAAAATATACCAGTATATAGGAAAATGTACCAGTATATAGGAAAATGTACCAGTATATAGGAAAATATACCAGTATATAGGAAAATGTTGAAACTAAAATGTTAACTACAAAAATGCCAATTAAATTGAAGGTATTCCAGTGAAATTTTGTCTATATTTTGCAGATATTTTGCCTTCTATTTTAAATTTTTTGTCTGACTTTCCAAAAATGTGTGAGTTATTGTTAAATATGAAAAGAAGTGTTATCTGCCATTATATATTTTCTCATAAGAATATTCTGTTTGTAAATTTGGAAAGTTCTGTTATATGCAACAAATACAGCATATCTGTTTTAAAGCCAGGAATGGATAATATAAATAACCAGTAAATAATTTTAAAGCTTAGAAGTATATATATATATATATATATATATATCAATTTTGTCGTTCCAGGCCAAGAAGAAAGGACTTAATAACACACAATCTGGATGGGTTTTTGCAGTGTTCTCCTTAACACAGTTTTTAGTCTCACCTGTGTGTGGAAAGCTAGTGAGTTATATTTATGTGATGACTATGTATGTTATATGAGGATTTGTATGTGTGTGCATGTGCGTAATTTTAAGTTGACTTACAGTATTGTGTAGACTTTGGTAGCTATTACGTATTGCAAATTGTCCCTGTTTTGACTTAGGTTACTGTTATCAACAAATTAAAAACAATAATTACGCTATATATGAAAAGCTGAAAAGAAATAAATTATTTGGGTGCTAATGAAAGTTATAATTGATCAGGAATGTTAATTCACTAAGAAAGCCTTAAACAATTTTGCTGCACTGCTTATGTAGAAAAAATGTTTGGTCTCTTATAAAAATGAAATTATACTTTTTAATATAAAAGTGCGCATTCAGAACAGCAGATCAAATATGGCCACCCACTTAAAAGCTTGCCTCTTAATTCCCGATTAGACACTGAATAGATTCTCAAGGGGATTACACAACAAGCAGTGAAGTGGGTCGGCTGTATTTAATCTGTGGATCTGTTAGTTCATTGTTCTGCATACGCTCTATGAAGTTATCATTAATTTCAGCTGCCAGTTGTGGGCTCCAGGTTTATGTTTTTAAGTGGTACCTTTCTGGGAGGTGGCTGTGTTATAATATTTGGGTAAGAAGAATTTAAGAAATTTAAACTTACAATTACACAAAAATGACCGGGATTGAATTTCTTAAATCCTTTAGATAGATTATTTAGTCACGAGATAATCCCTTATCTTTTCTTAGAACTCTGTTTTTACTGATAAATGCTAAAGATTTTCTTCTTAAAATTTATATAATCTATATTATTTATATATTATATAAATAAAATATACAAAAAAAAATTATATTTAATTAATTGAATAAACAGTATTACTATTATTATTGTTGTCATGTTATTAAAATGACTATTATTATTATCAACAGAAATTGAGTATTGATACAGGTTTCTTCTTTTATAAGTATGTTAGATAAGATCAATTTCAACGATGGGGGGATGATGTTTTTGGCATTTTGCCTGGTGACCCGGATCTTCATGTCCATTGGTTGCACAGCCGCCACCACCGCTGCCTTCGCAATCTGTATAAACTCATTTCCAAACGCCGTTGCAACAGTTTTGGTGAGTCAAAATTTGTTATGCTTTACAAGTGTGATTGTTGAATTTCTTTTAAGTATTTGCATTTATTTATTTCAACAGCTTTGGAAAGAAGTTGTTTGTGGTGATTTTTGAGTGTTGGATGTTGTATTTATTTTATTTATTTATTTATTTTTATTTATTTATTATAATTATTATTTATTTTATTTATTTTATTTATTTTATTTTATTTATTTATTTTTTTTTTTTTTTTTTTTTGAAGTATAATATAGGACTTCTTAAAATTTTTACACAAACTGAAGTAGACCAAGTTTTTAATTCTTAATTCAAAACTTATTATCAGGCTTAATTTCCTTTATGAAACTGGTCCCATATGCTACTGATATTTGTTGTCTGTTGCAGGGAGTACTGGAGACTTTCACAGGACTGGGAATGATGCTGGGCCCAGCCATTGGAGGTGTCTTGTATGAAGTAAGTATTGTGTCTCTTTTACACTGTGCTGTGACCCCTTCAAAAGCAGGGTGATTGTAAAATTTTGGATGATGTTGACAAGTCTTTTGTGAGTGTATTTTGAACTGTTCCATACACTGGCAAATCCCCTAAAGAGTGCTGGAGACTCAGCGAAAGATGGCTTGGGCAGCTGTCTAGATCACCTGCAAGGCCAGGACAATACTTAGGGAGCGTTCCCATAACCCTGTCACACTCGCTGGATCGATCTAACTCCTCTGGGATTCTCGCTAAGTTGCATTCAGCTTAATGTTTAGCACGCCTCCTCGTAACTTATACCCCGTTCACACTTCAGTCATTTATTCGAATAAATAGAGAATTAGGTCCCAATTTGTGAAGTGATTATAAACTTGAAGTTTTTTTTTTTTTTTTTTAATAACATTGTATTCATTTGCATTATTTCCAGCTGATGATAATATATTTTTTTGTTTGTTTGTTTTTGTTTTTTGTAACATTGTATGTATTTCCCACATTTTAGGCTGGTGGGTACATGTTGCCATTCCTGGTGCTAGGTATAGTC